TTATAAAAGTATGAAGTTTAGAAAAATTCTTAAGAGAAGCATGAATGTCCTTGAAGAGCTGAACATTTTGATACCTGAATGGCTTTGCTAGCTGAAAGTATGCTGAACTTATTAAAGATGTGAAAATAGTCCAATAGGACCCCACAAACTAGGTAAACCGTGTGTGGGGGCGGGGGGGTGATAGAGAGGGGGAGGGGGACAGAGACAGAGAGAGGAGTTATGTTGGGCCATGTCCCAATTGCACTGCATTTTATGAACCACCAGATGGCACTCCAAGACTGTGTCATTGACTCAGCACTTTGAGCTCCCATTGACTTGTATTGCAAAAAATAAAGCTGAATAGATTAAAAAGTATAAATGTTATAAAAAAGTTGAGTACAAGCTGGGATGTCATTGAAGAGTTGAACAGATTGAGACCTCAATGGCCTGTATAGCTGTAAGTATGCTGGACTTATTAAGTGCCAAAAAAAGGGTGGAAGATGTTAGGGTGATTTTTATTTTACGCACTTATGAATGGTTTTATTTTATAGCACACATAAGTTTACATACTTATATGTCAAGGTTATGCTTACATTGTTACATATCACCCTATGTGTTCACTGGACCACTGGTTAATATTTACTGTGTTAGTCACTGAGGCACTGTTCAACATTATAGTGTTTTGTCTACTAAATTACTGAATCTCATTAGATTTACAGCTCTAGCTAATGGAGAAATTATTATCACAACTGAGCTTTGAAGCCAGGGGAGTTACAGTTCACTGGGACTCCAAGGTTAGTGAAACAGAGATTAGACCTGGAGGCTTGCGGAGGAGAAAGCTTCAAAGGTAGGAACATTACGCACCCACACACACACAGGCAGAACAGTTTTAATTAGTGAAATGGAAAGCAATACCTAATATGGATCAGGTAGTTGAAAACAAAGGAGAAGTGAGTGTGTATGTAGGAATTAAGGCAGTATAGGTATTCTTCCTCTTCCTAGGGCGCTGTCCTCGACGATTGGAGCAGAAAGGATCATGGAGGATGGACGGACTGAAGGACCAATGACGGGAGAGTTAAGTCTAAGCCACGGCTTCTCCCCAACAGTTTTTGACCAATTAGAAAGTAGCACCTTTTCATACAAATATTGTATATGACAAGTTGAGGACAGTCTTTTCTGTTTATCCTAAACAGTGAAGATCCATGTGCACATGCTTATTTTGATACGTTAATGCATAATAAATTTCACCCTGTGAAATATCCTTTTATTAGTCTTCTCTTCTCAAATAAAAGAACTCTCCTCATAAAACAGAGTGAAGAGAACTGGCCTGAGCACACAGCCCTGTGGTGTGCCTGTGTTCAGGACCAGTGTGGATGATGTACAGCTTCTGATTCTCACCATTTGAGGACTGTTAGTGAGGAAGTCCTTAATACAATGACATCATTGCGGGCATTCCCAGACTGTGCAGTTTCAGTGCCAGTTTGTCTGGGATTACAGTATTAAATGCCGAACTGAAGTCAACAAATAGCATCCTGACATAAGTGTTAGGATACTCCAGGTGGGACAGGGCTGTGTGTAATGCTATTGAGACAGCATCCTCTGTTGATCGGTTCTCTCTGTAGGCGAACTGATGGCTGTCCAGACCAACAGGGATGATGTCCTTGATGTGCTTTAAAATGATCCTCTCAAAGCACTTCATAATTACTGGTGTCAGAGCAACAGGGCAGTAATCATTGAGGCAGGTGACAGCTGATTTCTTGGG